GCTCTGGATGGTAGTTCAAGTCTACATATTCTGCATGACAGTTTAAATTATTTACTGGATCAAATTTCATGGTTTCAGTGTAAATATTTAAAATGAGTGTTAAATTTCAATGGTGGTATTTGAGCCTATATATCTATCTTCTGTTCACCTTTCTCTTTTTCCTCAAGACCACGAGGACTTTTTTCCTCAAGTCCACGAGGACTTTTTTCCTCCCAAGAGGCTTTGTCTGGGTTTTGTGAGCACTCTACTACATGAATATTTCAGGATTTAAGTATCTTCATGCAAGATACTACTTTTGCAGGTCCTACTAAATAATATTATGAAAAAAACCCCACCCTGTTACAACACTTGATTTTGCAGAGAGAAACTACATAATCATATTGCCTCTTGTCAAGTGCAATGTACACTATTTCTTCCTATCTACGATTGTGTTAACACATAGAAATACCCATATTAGTCTCTAAGTTGTTTTTTTTTTTTTTTAATGAATACACTAGCTTTTTAATGCTGATTTTAAAAAAATTATACTTGAAGTAGATTCTGCAGATTTCATGAATCAACTTCATCATATCCCTTACTTTTACCCATTCCCACCAGTCTTCTGGCATACCCTGCTCTTCTTTTTACTCCTCAAATGAGGGTCTGCCATTACCTGACTGCATACAGAGCCATTCATGGAGTTCAGCAAAATCAAAATTCTATTTCCGACACGCATTTTTTTCATGGTGAGAAACTCCACCTTATTTAAGTGTGTGTGGTTTCTTTCATCTAATTACAGTTCAGTGATATTGCTGAAATGACTGCATCAGTACTACAAAAAGATTTTTACACCAAAAGCGTAACTAGTCAAAGAGAAAATATCTTTCAATTCTCCTATCATAAATAACAAAAATACCATAAGATTAATTCAGAGTCAATACGCAAAGCACTTATGATACACTAGCAGTAACATCAACTAACCGATTTCCTTTCCTTATCAATTCCCACGTGAAAATCCATGGACTATCTTCACAATCCACTCATTCTACCACGTCCTTACACATAACTTTTCCCTCTTCAGGAAGATTACCCTCACGCAGACCAAAGAAAGCCATTTCTGAGGTTGTGCCTCAAGCCACATAGCAAATTCCAGAATGAAGTACATATGAAGAAAAGCTCAGACACAGGGCAACTTAGGAAAAGGGGGATCCAACTGTACTATTTAGAAAACCTATCCTGTGAATCTCAAAAAAAAAAAAAAAAAACAAACAAAAAACCCAACCAAAAATTAGGTGCCAAAACAACTCAGCATGGTCAGAATTTACGTAGCTGTCCTTAATCCCACAAGCAGAAGCCTTGCTTTCTAACAGGCTCCAGAAGAAAGGGGTATGTTCAGGGAACAGATTGTAAAGATTATCACTGATGCCATGTCATCATTTAATCATTTTGGAAACAGAGAAACAGTGACACTAGAAGTCACCAAGAGGCCTACATTAGACTAGCTGGAGTATATATTGTGCCATGGTACTATACTTTATCTGGCTAATGGGATTATGCTAGAATTGGGTGTGTCCTGTCACATTCCTTTCATGCAGCTAAATGCACATCGAGAAAATTGCCTTATCCGCTTATATAAATGCATTCCACTGCCAGTAATTCATGAGGAAGTAAAGGAAAAAAATTTCTACCCAAACACTTAAAGACAAAAAAACTGGCACCAGGAGATGTTGAAAATCCCTATTCCTCTGCTATTTGCACTCAATACCACCTGGGTGAGAGCCATTCCTCTCAACCAGTTTTGTCACATCAATCAGAAGATCATGGAATCATAGAATCATTTTGGTTGGAAAAGACCTTTAAGATATAAATACCTAGGATGAAAAGCTTGATGAAACACATCAAAAAACCAATTTTTCCACATCACAACCAGTTATGTTAATTTCAGTCTTACAACCACATTACAAAAAAAAATCCTTTTTCTATTGTGCAACAGGCCAAGTTATCAACCATGTTGAATTTAACTTTGGTTGTTCAAAGAGCATCTCCACTGATAGTGAGCCTAGGGACACATACCTATCAAAAGTTCCACTTTCTCCTAAACAAGAGCCTAGCTGAAAAGTTTGCATGCACATCCTTGAACCAAGCTCCAGGTCTTACAAAAAGTGCCTGAATAATTTTAATAAAATTGAATGGGTCAAGAAGACAGATAAATGAGTGGAGTCCATTTTCCATCTGAAAGCAAAGTCTAAGTCTGGGGACCTAGGCAACACTTAGGATTAATCTACATGAGACAGTTAAAAACCCTGGTCTTTAATTTTTTTTTTTTTTTTTTTTTTTTTTTTTTTTTTAACATAGTATAGTTAAGCTCATATAAAGACCCATGCTGAAATAATTTATTTCAGGTTTTAGGTAGCTCATGTTCTTAATAATTACTAAATGGCCCTATTATATGTGTACTGTGCCTCCTACACTAGACCTTCAATACATGCAGGCTTGGTGATTCAGAAATTTAAGACAAGTTGTTGAAACAGTTATCTGTGCACATCTCTGCATAACACCATGCAGACATATTCAAGTGCTTCAGAAATGTGTAACATGGTTACCACTGCTGCTGTTTCTTTGCACTTCTGTAAGGTGAAGATGTGGTCCTGATATACAAGGAAATGTACAAACACAGCTGGATTTTACTGTGAAGAATCTTAAATTATCATGACAGACAATGGTTGGACTACTGAAATGTCCGTTCTTGCTTGGTAACTGTAACAAGGAGCGCATAGCACTAGCTGTATAAGTAATGGCTTATATCGCCTGCTGTGAAAGAGCACAATGCCTGCATGTCATCCTTCTTTCTTTTTAAAACTAGGATCTTTGTAGTGTGTTACTGGGCTGAAGCATACTGTGAAATTGCATGATATGGCATTGTGAACTTCCTCATTCTGACTGTTTACATTTCTATGCAAATTTCTTCCTAGCAAAGAAAAGTGAGAAGTTTTGGTTTGCCATATCAAGAAACTAAGCCTGATCCTCGTTTATACTTTGTAGATGAGAGTCAATACTGGCTCACAGTTTGGGGAGATAAAAAAAATAAAAATAGTTGTTTCAGTTCTGTTAAACTTACGGGATGGTGTATTTTCTTTTACTGCTAAATTAAATAACTTAAGTCCAACCAGCCATCTATTCCAAATTTGGACTTTAGCTCAGAAATGGCCAGCTTGGTCTCATTTTCAGGTGAAAATGCTCAACTTCTGATTGTGTGCTTCAAACCAAGGACATCAGACTGTCAAAAGCCTGAACTTCTGAACTAAAGAGAACTGTTGGTGTTGCTTTTTCTTTCCCAAAGCTTATTTTAATGCTTATTCTGCCTAATCATCCTTTATATCATCCCAGTCCTTGTGATGGGTACTGAACTAACAGCCACTACACGTTCACAGTGTGGAGGTGTCCAGCAGTGCAAAGTCCCACACAACATATGCCCAGCTGGAGAAGGTGTTTTGCAGGCACCATCCATCAGATTGCTGTGGTAATGGTAACTCTAGAGGACACTGCATCAAGACCACAAATTTATTTCATGTATGTCAATGAAAATAACAAAGAGGGACTAAAGCTGGATTTGAACTGATCACCTAAGGAGGAAAAGCTCCATATCCCATTGTATTGAGTTATCTGGCACACTGCCTTGTTCTCTGCCTCTGGCTGGAGATTTAAAACATAGTAATACTATACCAGAGGACACAGCATGTCCATCTTCATGTAGAAAAATGGAGCAAATAAAAACATTTGGTTCCCTTCAGGACTACTGTTTTTGACTAAGAGAAGTATACCTTCAGATTGAGATACACTAACTTCTTTGTAGCAAAGATTTTTTGGTTATTTCTTACGGCCTATGTAGCAGTTTACTACTGAGAAAAAGTGACAGAAAGCAGTCTATAGAAAAGCATTCATCCCATAGCAGTGAGAAATTTCTTTTAAGAATGTTAAATCTTTCTTATTAGGGACTAACCTGCATACTTCTAAATCATCAGACCAGTCATCATACAACACTGGAGGCTTCTGAACAGCATCAGTCACACTGGGCCCTGCCCCAGCAGGTGCTCTGTTATCTGGGACTGCCAGAGCATCACTGCCAGAGCCTGCCTCTGCAAAGCAGTCCTTTGCATCTTTATTGTGTCTAAGGAAAGATGTGGGCTGGTGATCTCTGCAGTAGCTTTTTCCTTTGCTTTTTCCACTTTTTCTTGAGGACATCCTTGCTTCCTGAGATGATGCTGAAGACTGTGATTCCTTAAGCCTTGGAATCCTTCTTCGGCGGTGATTTAAAGCAGGATTCTCAGGATCAGACACCTCTTGCTTCTTTTTCCCCATTGTCCCCAAGGTGACAAGTTCAACAGCATTAATGTTTGAGGACCCATCCTGGTTACTGCATGATCTATTGTTCCTTCTCCCTCTCCTGGGCATTCTGGCCTTTTCTCTTGCTCTCCTCCTAGCCTGAGCCCACTGACTCTCATCTGAAGACGATGATGAATCAGATGCATTCCAGCTGGATCTCGCAGGCCCAGGATGTAATTTACAGTCTTTCCCCTTTCCTTGCTTTTCTGTATGCTCACCATTGTCTCCAGTCTCTCTTTTCCGCCTAAACCTTCGTTTTACTTGTTTCTTACCAGACTCCCTATTAGAAGGGGTCAGCACCATGACAGGGGTTGCATGTTCAAGCTCATCTTCTGACAAATCATGCAAGGCAGTAGATCTAGACAAAGCAGTAAGCAAAGGAAAGGGATGGAAATGGTAAGGGTGGGTGGAAAGAAAGAAATCAGAAAAAAAGGATGAAAATGAGAACATGAATTTTAATAGAAAAAAACATGAGACTGAAAGGCAAAAACCAGAACATAAACAAAGAGAGATCAAAAGAAAACTAAAGTCTATGTAAATTATGAATAGTGTTAAGCAGAAGCAAGAGCTACATATTATTTAACAAAAACAACTAACAAGTATCAGACAGATTAGAGTATATTTTTCACAGCACCTACCTACAAATGTCCTGAGTGGAAGGGCAGACAGACAACCGTGACTGACTCCTGGGAGCTGTTCCTATTGTAGGACTGCTTGCCTGTTGAAAGAAGTTAGACAGTTTGGAATCTTTGTCCATGAAATACATTGCAGATATTTTATTGCTTTGCCACATGATTACAAAATTAAAGTAACTGTTGCTGCTGTTCATAGCGCACTGTTTAACACATGCAAGCTCACAAAATACAGGAAGCCTGACCAAAAGCAAAACCTATTTGTGGAACTAAATATGACTGAAGCATTTCAGCTCTCATTTGCTTTTTGTTACTGTTTGAGGAAGCAGCTTTCAACATTTGAAGTTTCATTCTGGCTCTGATCTACTGTAAATGTCTGATGGGAAAGGATGCTGTTTTTATTTCATGCAATCAAACAACCATGATGATTCCTTTCAAAATGGAGTGAAGTGCATTTACATTATGCTGAGCGTTGAAGAGCACAAAGCTAACCTATGTTGAGTGGACTGACAGAACAGCGACAAAATTAAAGTGTGTTTTAAAAGGTTTTCAAGGCAATCAGATCTTAGAAGAGCTGAAAAATGTTAAACTGATGAGCCTGAGAAGACCAAAGAGCAGGCTGCATTTCTACAGAGCTGATCACATTCTCAAACAGCAGGAGAGATATAAAACATGTTTAGTATGTGACATTTTGCTCATAAGGTTGTTGCTACAAATTGCAGACTTAGTTGCTCAATACTTCCACCGAAAACATATTTTGATGGTGTTAACAGCAAACCATTTCAATCTGCCTTACAGTCTACTGGCAGCATAGCTATATAGAAACCAAATTTAAACCCAAGGCTTTGTGATTCTTCAGGATCACTCACGAGGTACAGTATTGTGGGAAGAGGGTTCAATACAACTCATTCTTAAGGCTATGACCTTCCTTTAGCTGATAAGGGCATTAGCTTTTAGTATGCAACCCTATCCCATTGTGAGCACCACTACCAAATAGAGACCAAATACTATAAGCCTAAGAGTTCCACAAGATCATGCACCAGATGCAAGGGAAGAATGACTGTTAAGCAAGAGTACAAAGTAAAAATAATACAAAGATGTAAAGGCTATCATCCCAAGCCTTTTTACTAGCAAATCAAAGTCAGTCACACATAGAGTCCATAACTAAAATTATTTCTAGCTCACCTTTCACAGTCATTTTTGTGGTGTCAGTTTGAAAATTAATAGTACAAACAAAGATAAATAAAAACAGCAAGTACCTCCTGACACTTCACTTCTATTCAAGGTTCTTAATAGCCGTTATATTTCATGCATAGATCTTTTGGAAACATCAGTCACCACCATGCACATTTTTGCTTTTAAAGGGATACTAGCTGAGACTCAAGATCAGTGCTTTTACATGAAAATAATCTTCTAGCTTTTGGAATTCAAGTAACCCTTTTTAACTCTTGAATAATATCAAACACCAAAAATATTACTAATACTTTACTACTAGTTCCACAAAATGAAACTCAGAGATACGAAAACTAAGCCAACATGAGAAATTAAGTCGATAAAGCATTTGGGCACAATCCTCATGTTCAAATGTTTTTTCAATGCCTGGGTCCACCAGGCAGAGAAGGAGCATTTGTGAGTCTACATGCAGTCTAATACTGGAAAAAAAAAGGACGAGTATCAGTGAGAAAAATTGTTTGTATTTCATATCTCTTTTTCTACAAAAGTAAGATTTCAATTACACATAATGTGAAGGAATATGAATTGTTCTTACACACATAATAGAAACAGACGGTATATGTATGGTTGGACATAGAATTTTTTTCCACCTCAGCCTCTATGATTAGTTTTACGTGATTAGGCATACCTTAAGCTACTTAATGAGGAAAGACGTAGACATCAGCACCAGAGACAGCCGTTGGGCTACACGCTGCTGCTGTGTGAAAAAACATCCCTCCAGACTAAATCCCAGGTGAAGGACTGCTGAAGAAATCCAGCCCTAAAGTTGAGTATGGACTCCTGAATTCTTCCCTCATGACTGGTTTCCACTTCTTTTTTTCCCCTCACAGCTGCAGGGCTGTTACCATGGCTTCTTTCAGGATCTGTGTATTACAGGGGTTTGGCTTGCTCTTAAGTGGTGGTCAGGTCATCCTCATGCTGTAAATATAGGTTTTGTATCACCTTGCCACAAGCATTACCCTTTGAAGGGATAAGGAGAATTGCTAAGCTGGCCCAGTAACTGTACAGTAGGTCTGCACAAATTCAAGAAACTTTCAGCAGCTACCAAAGCAGCAAGTCAGCTAGACCATTCTTAAGAGGTCTTGAATCAAGCCAAAAATTAAAACAAATTCCTTGCAAAGCTTTTACACTTCTTATTTGGGACTGGAGACAGGTGGAAATTTAATTATTTTAAAATAAAAATTACATTACCAGTTTGATTGCTTATATCTTACATTTCACTCTCAGCTGTAAAGAGGTCTGGACTGTTTCAGCCCTGCTCAGTCAAATTTACTTTCTAGTTCACCTGCACTGGCATAATGATGTTATGTTTAGTTTCATATAACTCAGAGGAAAGTTTATTTTCTTCTAAAATAATTTACATCAAATTCTTTAAAGAAAGTGCTTTTTGCTTTTTTGTCTAATCCCTATTGGAGTAAACGACACCTGGGAAGCCAAAAAGCCTGTGCACCACTTGTCTTGAAAAACAAAGCAAGAAAACTCCAATATGCCAAGTTATACACAAGATAATTCAGATTCTTATCTGCGAGCCAGTTTCATTCAATAGGTTTCCACAACTTCTAAATACAAATCCACTTCAAAATAGCTTTTAATGGTAAAACTACAGAAGGGACCTCAAGGATCATCTGGTCCAACCTTTCTTGGCAAAAGCACGGTCCAGACAAGACGGCCCAACACCCTGTCCAGGAGAATCTTAAAAGTGTCCAATGTTGGGGAAATGAAATGAACTGATGGGATGATTTCTAAAACCAAGATAGTTAGTGTTTCTGATATCCATTATCTGATGTTCAGTTATAGACCTCACAGGTACTGGAAAGCCTTATTTTGTACATAATTCCAGTCTTAGCTCTGTAAGTTAAATAGGAGTGGAAAGACCTGTTAATGTCAGGTCTGTGTCTGCTACCACATAGCATATGAATGTAATCATTCACAGCTAGCCAAGCTGTTTTTAAAAACTTGTAAATGCCAACTCAGCTGGAAGCCCATTCCAGACCTTTACCCCAAGAGCCTTTTGCTTTTCACCCTACCCATGTTCTGACAACATGAACTGCATCCACTTTCTGCTGCCAAAATCGTCTCTGGGCTTACCTCTGTTCTTTCAGTGATATTCTCTCTTAGCCGTCTCCTCTACAAGCTATACAATCCCACACTCAATAGGAAAAAAAAAAAAAAAAAAAAAAAAGCAGCATATTCTCTTAAGTCCAGCCTCACAGTGAAGATACCTAAAGTAGCATTTAGTCAGTTGGTGTATATACAGAGCCCAGCAAACAGCCATGTGTTCCAGATTACATCCTAGAAGGGATACAGTTATATCAGTTCAGTGTTTTGCTTCCTCTGAGTGGCAAAGCAGGCTGCTGAAACTCCTGGTGCCCTGCACAAGTTCCACATTCATTCAGCTGTGCTATCTTGGAGTCTCTGCAATACTGTACTCCCACAAAACACATCATTGAACAATCATCCCCTCTCATATTATAAGCTTTCTTTTATTTTTAATCATCTTTACTGCTAGTTTTAGCAACAAAATACAAAATCTTTTAAATGGCATCAAGTTTATTTTAAAGGCATATCTGACATACTAAAACACAACCATTTGAATATATTCTGCTGACATTATATTAGTCCAGCTCTTAAGGGAATGTATATGCAACAGGTGTTGGAAACAGTCTCAAGAACACAGATCTTACTGCCATAATTGCCATTTCATTGCTATATTGCAATTTAGTACACTGAATATTTTGAGATACTGTATTTCTTGAATAGACTGATGCTGTGGACTCCAGTTCCACTTGGCACGCAGAATAATGAATTTTTTTAAAAATAGTATTTCTTGAACAAATGTCTACTTCAGACAGCTATATTGTACAGCTCATTGGAATGGGAAAACTAAACAAGCACTGTACTAATTTTATCATAGCAAATTATATCAACAGCATAATTAAATGTGGTAATCCAAAATAAAGTTGTCCGACAATTCATTTAGAAGCAAGGCAGATGATTTCTCTATGCCATCAAGACAAGGAAGATGTTTGAGGGAGAATGACAACTCCAGCTGATAAGGTTTAGCATTTCAAAAAAGTTGTTAGTAGAGAGAGATTCCCCAGTCACCACCTTCTGCTGTCTTGGCCAGTTTAGATGAACTCTCTTGTCAAGGATATGCAATTCAATTAACAGACATGACAGGGCACTTATCTACAATTATTTTTAATATGATCAACAGGAGTCAATAGTATGCTTTTCAAACAGAATAATGGTAAACACAGAGTTTTCAGGACAAGCAAGATGATAACCATTTATCTGACACAAGGGGACTTCAATATCACACACATGTGTCTGTGTTAAAAGACTGCAGCAAAGACAGAAATGGGGGACAGAATGAAGTTTAACTGATGAGAACTATAAGAATTTCAAATCAGGATTGCCTTTACTTTGGTGTTCAGGACCTGATAGAACTTTCCAGATTAGAACAAAAAATGAGAGTTCTCACTGACCATCTATTGCTTAACACTGGATGTTGAAACTAGTCCAAGAACATGAGCCAAGTCATGCTCTTAAGAGAAGAGAAGGGCCTTACTTTGACCTAACTGAAAAGCTGAGTAAAAACACATTCCAGAAGTGCAATGCATTCATATAGGAATGGTGTTAAGTTTCAAAATAACAAATCAGATATAACGGACAGCTGATATAACAGGTCACCAGATTTCACAGATATCACCAGAAAAGCTAATGAATCCTCTAATGCCTCAGTTCTGAATAGGAAAGACCAGAAGCATTTCCAAAAGCTGCTCAGCTTACAACACTGCTTAAGTAGAAAGTTGCAGAAAATTGAGGGATGATAGGGCAGACAGGGAATATG